ATTGTACTACCTCAAAAACTATTGTTATATTTTTTATATATCATAGTTTTTGTAACAACCAGGTGATTTCAAAAATTATATTTTTGAGCAAACATTATACGAAATTTTTTTTAGTTTGCAATTTCTATATACTGTTTATTTTGTTTAAATTTTAATACTGTTTTTTATTTATAAATTTTATTTAGAATCAAAATTTGTTTTTTTTTAAATAGTTTTTTTTTTATATATAAATTCTTTTTTTTAAGTATTTTCTTGTATATAATTATAATATAGAGTGATAAGCTGAAATTGTAAATAATACTCTGGCAAGTATTAGCTCTATAGTATAAATTTTATTATTTTGAAAATATAAAGTAATTGCTAAAATCATGAATAGTACTCTGGCAAGTACTAGCTTTATCATTTTCAGTTCTTTAATTATAATATAAAGTGATAGCTGAAGTTGTGAATAATATCTTGGTAGGTATTAGCTTTATATTGTAAGGAATCTAAAAAGCCAAATATAGCTATCGACGGTTTGTTTATTAGTACTTCTTCCTCTGGTTATATTTTAGGATATCTCTAAATCTAAGTATCTAATACTTCTTGGAAAACTAGTACATAAAGATCAATAGATTAAACCCTTTATCCGTTTATTGAAAGTCTTATAGTACCTTTGGAAGCTATTGAATTTAGGTTCCTATTGCTATTATTTTTTTTTTTTTTTTGTTTTTACTTTTATATTTTTTTTATTTTTATTTTTATTTTTTTTATTTTTATCTTTATTTTTTTTATTTTTATTTTATTTTATTTTTTTTTTATTTTTTTTTTTATATTTATATTTTATTTATTTAATTATTTATTTTTTATTTTTTTTATTTATTTATTTATTTATTTATTTTATTTTTTTATTATTATTATTTTTTTTTGCCAAGTTCTTCTTTCTTTTTCTTATTTTTTATTTTTATTTTTATTTTATTTTATTTATTTATTTATTTTATTTTTTGAAAACTTAATTTTTTTTTCTTTATGCAAACTTTTTCTCAACAAACTTTTGATTTTTCTTGGAAATATTTTAGATATATTCCTACTAATAAGCAATACTTTGATCTTTGTCAAGAAATTGAATTAGCTGCTTCTACACTTCAATCCAATACTTCTCTAACTTCTAAGCAAATCTCTTTTCTCTTTGAATATTTTCAATTTTGTGGATTTTTTTGGGCTAATGGGAAAAACTCTTAAACAAAAAGATCTTGGAACCAAGAAGGAATAGTTAATCAAGATTTTAATACAACCTATACACCAATATATTATTTAGAAGCACCTAATCCTAACAACCCAACTGGTACCATTTATCAATTACCTAATCACCAATCTCAACAACCAAAGGTTCATTTCTATACTGCTGCTGAATTCTTCAACTTAAATCACTATGAACAGGAAATACAACAGGGTATAGTTTCTAAGAACGGTATTAAACAGCTATATAAATTTCGACAACAATACAGATTTGCAACTGATCTTGATTAATTCTTTATGAATATTGCTCTATATCAAAATCGAATTCGAGAGTATAAATTTTTGCACGATACTAATTAGGTAGTTACAAAATTAAAATACAATTCAAGACCAGATTCTAGCTATTCTGAGTGCAATCCTCCTAAACTTAGTTTGCGAAATTCAAATCAGTTTATAAAATTTTGGAGTTGGTTTAATCAGAAGTATCAAGCTATCTATTTTACTTGTATAACTGTTGATACTTTTGAAGAGATATATCAATCTGTAAAGGACGAACAATTTTTTGAAACTCTTATTCATTTGTTATTAACTACTATTCGATATAATAATAATCAACCACCTAAAGAGTTTAATCAAATAATACCAGAAGTAAAAGCTAAGTAGATAGCAGCAAATAAATTTAACTATTCACCTGAAAATTCTGAAAAATCTAATCAGGAAACTGATACTGAATCTAGACTTGAAATTTCATATTCAGTCTCTTTCAACTAATCTTTCTGTAAATAAATTAAATAAAAAGTTTGAGAAAGCATACAAGCAAATTCAACAAGGTATAAGCTGAGCTAAAACTATTATTGGACAACTAAAAAACAATCTGGAGCCTACAGAAACACCTTTGGTATCAACTTCTCAAAATCCTCCTCTAAATATAAATAATCAAAATAAAGATACTGAATCTTTAAATTTTGAAGAAGCTTACTTTAATACTATTAATCAAAGAAGAAATATGTCTTGACATACAAGATCAGAAAGAAATTATCTACATATTACTCATATAAATAATAGACCAACTATAGAAGAACAAACTAACATGTATATCCCCGATGATTCTCATGGAATGGTTGAAGATTATAGAGCACTAGTTGACTTTACCAATATGCGTCAACACCAAGCACAAAATCAACAACAAACTCCTCTTCCTGAATTTGATAACCAACAAGCACTTCAAACACTTTTAAGAGGCATAAATAAAATGTTTGAAAGTAATGCTGCCCGAGCTGCAGTAGCAACAACAAATCCTAAAGAGTATAAATTAATTGACTTTTTTATTTTTTCAGGAGATAATGATGAAAACCCAATAGAATGAATTGAAGCCTTTACTAGAGCATGTGTTGGTAATAATGTAAATAAAACTAGAAAGCTAGCAATTGTACCAAATTTTCTCAAAGGAAATGCTCTTTCTTGGTATAATCAAAACAAAGATAATTTTCAAGTTTGGAAAAGTAATATC